AAAAAAAAAAAAAAAAAAAAAAAAAAAAAAAGCCAGAAAATCAGAGCTGCTAAAAATGATTGAGCACTGCAATAGACACAAACTCTCTCTAGTACAAGGAGAAACAGTAACCAATACTTCACAAAAAGTCTCAGGACAGACTTCTCCCTCTCTCTCCAACTCTCCATGTTACTACATTTCTTCTTTTAAATTCCTACATACAAGGAACAACAGAGGCTAATGTCTAAAATTCCTGCAGCCACAGTCCACTTACAAGTGCTTACAGGAGTCCAGCTCCTATTGAAAGACCATCTTGGCAAGAGGAAGCTCAACAAATTTCCTGGAGCTGGTGATGACTGGCGTCACTCCTTCGCCAGCAATCAGGAGCACATCTCCTATCTGTAGGGCCAARTCTGGAGGGATAAGTATAAGCAGCCACTGAAGACACTGGCAGGTCTTCTGCAGCTTCACATATGACTTTTCCTTCCATATGTAAAAAAAAAAAAAATTGTCCAGGTCATTTATGCATGGGCTGGATCATCACAGCTGTCTGAGTGTGTAACAGCCTCCCACTTTAAATCTTTTTTTTCTTTCCTGGCAACCTGCTGGAGTCTTCTCCTAGAGCAGCTCTCCATGAAAATATTAACACATTACCCATGACCCTTCAGTGTCCACAACAGGTAATTTCTAAGGAGCAGCCTAAGCTGAYAAGTACATAAAAGCACAGATAATTATGGCGATCTCTGATGGTGCTTAATCACCTGCAAGGCAGGCACAAAGTAGGTCCTAAAGATCTGGACCTGTGGATGGGGAGGAACAAAGAACAGGGAGCTCTGCTCCCCTGGYAATAGCAGAAAGATGAGGAGGAAGAAAGGGTGACAGCCATTCTGTGGCTGAATGTCCTGTGTGCCCTGAAGAAGCCTAACAAAGGAAACTGGGCATCTGTGAAACATTACTACTTCCTCCCTCAAAAAAATTCCAATTTCATCTCAGACGCACATATCCACTCATGTCCACACAGATGGATCTCACAGTGCCATGCAGGACAGTAAGTACGATGTAAATGCATTAAAAAAGAAATAAAATTTGGACTTTGGACATCTGAACTCTGTATAGAAGCAAACGTGGCTTTATACACTTATGTTTCTCAAGTAACAGTGGGACAAGCTGTCAGATGACTTCTCCAATGATGCCACATGATGTCCACGGATACTGCAGCTTATCGTGCAACAGGCTGAACCCCGTTCAGAACATGAAACAATACATCCCACACCATTCTCCTATTATTGTATCTCAGTACTCTATCACGAAGAGCCAATCATTCCCAGATGGATCTGATCACTGAAGCTGTCCATTCTGATGCTCTGACTCATTTATTAAATACATTCCATTTTCCCAAGACTGAGAAAGTGAGATGAAGAATCAAAGTRTTATATCAGTCAAAAACGGGTTAACACATCTTAAAAAAGAAATGTAAAGTGTTTTCAATAAGGAGTTTGAAAGTTTTTTTTTTGAAAAACAGTCTTTCCCAACTCTATTTTTCTTAATGAAACAAACCCTTACCACAGAAGCAAGAATACAAAGGCTACTGTTATTTCATATAAATTAACCTAATTCCAAACACAGCCCTGCCTTTGAAAGACATGAATCGCTCTTTGTAAACAGAAATGACTGAAGAAAGCATTTTCCAATTTTCATTTCACCTTTTACAAGGGAAGCCCAGTGTTCTGTGACAACARATGCAGCAGTTAGCGCAGTGCACATCCCTTTCTCAATGAACCACAGGATTACATTTTCAGCATTCARAAGCTGCACTTTGAAAAGCACCTCTCTATTCTAGCTGTGGCCTGTCAGCAAACATCTGTGGTGGAAAGGACGGAGATCCGATGCAATTAAGGCAGCARGAAGGGAAGACCTTTCCACCTTTCACCTTCCTACTTGCTTCCTACACTTGCTCTTCACTCAAAAATGTGTCTAAACAGACTCCCTGCTTCTCCCACTCACACAGACACACACACACAACATGAAAAGGATTCACTGAAGTGCTCCTTGACTCTTCTGCATTCAGGCCCAGTAGTCATTACCAAGTAAAAAGCAAGATGTATGAATTCAAATATTTTCCAATAACTTCCYATTTCTCGGTAATCATGCAGTATATATTACATAATTCCCAAATACTTTTCTAATACCCTCAGCCTCTATTAAAAAGAAGACATTTGAATTATTGAATGCTAGGTTGCTTTCAGTCCTGCACCTGCATGCTGCTTCAAAGGAGAAAAGATGATAGCAAGTTCTCTATCCAATATGTGCATAAACAGTGGTGAGGTGTTTTCTTTATTTACTTAGTATTATTTTTATTCAGCCTTCCAATTAGCTTTACTAATATCATTACTTTTTTTGATTAAAAAAAAAAAGAAGTTTTGAACAGTTTTCAGCATGGTTCTTAAGTTCTGACAAAAGCAACAAACAAAAAGCAGGAACACAGAGCAGTTCAGCATCACGAAAGCGAAACAACTCACTCACCTTCCAGGAGGAATTCCCCTCTTGTTAAGGTCTATTCGCACCTTCTCGCCCACATGTCTATAAACTTCTACAATGGCGAGTATGGCAGCATCTCTCACCTGCAAATGCACAGACTGAATTACTAATTTTAGAGTTACAGAAACAAAAACAGCATTTTACTGACAACCCACCAATTTTCAACCTTCATGATGACTTAATTTACAAACCAACTAATTGAAATTGAGAGGTCCAAATAAAAAGAAAATGCAATTGTTATTTCAAGGTAACCTTTTTTTTTTTTTTTTTTTTTAACAAAGTGAAGCATGTCCAGATGTCAATCAAAAATCCTAGGAAGGACAGCCCTCCAGCCCTAGAGGAAATTTCTGGAAATAGCACATTTGCAGGATTGTCTTTTTTTAAAGTCCTGTCACACCACGCAACAATTTGGCAAGTCAGTCCATGCACTCAGTGCTGACACACAGCCAGGCACGACTGTCCACAAGAGCAATCCAAAGCGACCAAGCCACTGAGCACCAGCCTCACTTTCTTCATAGGAGTTACTAAGTGGTATCAAACAAGCACAAGAAATAGAGTAACAAAAGAAGGTGTGTGGAGACAGAGAGGTAAGAACGGCTAAAATAAGGGAAAGGAGGGTCTCTCTCAACACTCTGAGGCATATCACATGAAGCACTGCTAAAATGCATGTTATTAAATTCCAATACTCCTAATAAAGAATTATTGGAGTCATTTTAGTCTTTGCACTACAAGAACCATCACTCTATGAAAATAAGAACTACATCACTACTAGTGATCAGTAAACATTTAAAAGATTTTCCAGAGAACAGAACAGTTAGACCAAAGCTATAAGAAGGAAAAAGCTTGTTATATCCAGAAAATAAGCATAAAGACCCATTCTATTTATTTATACAACTCACTCCAAAGCTAGCTTTCTCTTTCCTAGCATTTTAAAATATTATTTCAGGGAGAACTTTACATAAATCCAGAGAAAGCATTCAACCATTTCCATCGGAAGGTTTTCCAAAGTTCAGAGTTCACCACTATGAACCACAGCTCCAATTTTATAAGCTTCTTTATTTTTAATCATTTTTTAGCTATAGTTCTTGCATGTGCTCAAATGCCAACAAGGCTCAATTTAAGAGATTCCTAGCCATTTTGTAAACGATAACGTTATCTTTGCCAAATTTAATGGGTTATTACAGGTGTCACTCAGGGGCTCTCTGTAGATACAGCTCTTCTTACCAATATAGTTTGTATTGGTTTTCTTTCAAAGGGTTCTCTAAGAAACAACTACTTCAAATAACAATCACTTTCAGACTTTGAGACAAAACTAAAGGGGCCAGCACGTTAAACCTAAGAAGGAACATGGCTGTCAGACAGAAGAAGCTCAACCCTTAACTCCTAGTGAATGTAATGAATTGAAAGAAAACTGTTTTTTTTTGTTTGTTTCTTGAGATAGAAAAATATATCTTTTGCATACTATCGAGTCTTTGGACTTTTCTTAAATGCTTCCATTAATTGCGAATTCATTTTTCTCTCCAAGTACAGTAGTTGAAGCAATGGGAAGCAGTGAAATGTTTACCTGACTGTTCGAGTCACCAAACAGCACACACAGATGTGGTACCAACTTGCTGAGAACTAAAGACTGCGCCCCGTAACTGCAAAACAAATGAAGAAATAGTAAGTTGAAGGACATTTTTGTAGAGATACARAAAACATGTGAAATAATTTGCAGTTTAGCATTGACAAAATCCAAATTTACATTTATGAACCATGCTCCATCTCTCTCACAAAGCTTTCATCTATTTTTAAATAAGACAAAATATTATACCTTTAATCTTTCTTTCAGAAAGCTCACAGGTCAAATTATTTAATTCTTTTTTTTTTTTCCTGTTTATGATTTTAACTGAATCAGACTCTACGAGTAGTAATTTCAGAGAAAGACAGACTTTTGGAAAAAGGACAAAATCTGCATGTCTCCAAGGGAACAAAAAGCTTACGTGTTTAAGGTTGCAGTAAGACACAAACACACTCCTTCTCGGGATCGGTAATTCTTGTGTTTAAAGCCAACAACAAGGCGTTCCCAAACGTACTATAAAACAGAAATTGATTCTGATTACTGGAAGCACAAGAAAATACGGCTCTACCCATTCTCTACGATTACATTCRGAACAGCTACAAAAACAACAAAAGACAGGTCCACTGGCAAAAGTAAAGGCATGTCTCAGATAAAATTAAATCACAAAATCTGCAACATGGAACACAATACAAGTTATCCCACGCTCCCCCAAATTCTAAAATGACCTGAAATCTATCTATTTTCACTGCTTGAGAAAGAGCTTTAAGATATATAGAGAGAATTGCTAATTACAAATGCACAAGCATTAGCATTTCAAATAACTCAAGCAGAAGTTCCAGTATTTTTTGCTTCATATTCCTCCTGGCAAAATTCCCTCTCATCCATTTCAGTTTGTCTGGATCCTCGGGCCCTTCTACTTTTGCTTTCAATTCACTTCAGATCCCTTCATTTTTTCTCCCCGTTCTTTCCTGCCTAGTCATTCCCATTCCCCTGCATCTATTCCCGTCCTGCTTCCGTTTCTCCTTTGATGCTGGCGGTGCTTCCCGATCCCCCGGCCTGCCGAGCCCTCCGTCACCTCCTCACCGCCGCCGTGAGCCCCTCACTCCTCAGCGTGGCTCCTCACCCCTCCGCTTGCCGGGGCCACACGCTGGGGTGTCCAACGGGGCGCGACRCGCGGGCTCACGCGGCCCGGCCTCGGCGGCGGGATGGCGGCGGGATGGCGGCCGCTCGGGGCCCACGCGCGGCCCGCCCGGCTGCGCCGCTGCCATGAGAGGCGCCGCGGGCGCGAGCAGCGGGGCCGCGGCCAGCACCCTCCTGCCTGCGGGCGCCGTGGGCAGCACCCTCCTGCCTGCGGGCGCCGTGGGCAGCACCCTCCTGCCTGCGGGCGCCGTGGGCAGCACCCTCCTGCCTGCCCCGGCGGGCTGCAACCCCCCGGCCCTCACGTACACCCTATAAAGAGGCGCGCACCCCGCACGGCTGCGCCGGCATTCCGCTTTCTGCAGGGATGCTCCCGCACAGCTACCGAGGCACGGAACACAGCCAGGTTGAGGAGCAGGGGATGCTGCACTATTCCTGCATATTTTGGAGCAGACRTTGTATTTCCACCTACAGTCCCCTTAATGATTTTGAACCACCTTTTCTTTTCTTTTTTTTTTTTTCTTTTTTTTGAATACCTTACTACATTTAAAGGAAACAAGCCTTAGACAAGCAGAATTCAGCCTGCCAAAACTGCACTGGTTAACAATAAAGGACAGGATTTTATGGAAGAAAACAGCCCCTCAATGTTAACCCATCATCGAAAACAAATACAAAAAAAAAAGGAAACAGCCTTTCCAGGTGCACAGACAAACACAGGGAAGATACTAAAAAACAAAGCAGAGACTGAAGAGAAATTAAGACTTTTACTAAATTAACCCCAATTTAATAATCAAATTAATCTAAACTGAGAAATTCAGCGTCTCATGCAATAGATGACTTGCTAGCACCAGCTGGTATCAATCTCCCTTTGCCACAGCTATACATCGATACCAAATACATTCCAATTYTGCTGCTTTCCTTCCACCCCTATAGGCAGCTACCCCTGACTTGCTTTCCCACCCTTCCGAACATATTTGCAACAAAACAAAGGAATTTATTGCAGGACAAATTAAATAGTTTTCAAGGACACACTAAAACAGACCAGATGAGATGATCAGCAAGAGACTTACGGGTCTTATCCAAAAAAAAAAAAGGGATTCCACCCAACTCTTCCAAAGGGATGCTTCGCCTCAGCAAGGGGAGCCTAAAATGCTGTAGCTCAGGTTGAAGGCACAGGAAGCACTTCTCTGTTTTGGTCCCTGCTGTGAGGATGATTTATGCATTTCATCCTTTTTTTTTTTTTTTTTTTTTTTTACTGAAAATACATAAGCAGTCCTGGGAGCAAAGAAGGATGAAGCCAGGATTCTCCCATTCCAGAGGGGATACCAGAAGAGCTATATCTTCTCTAGCAATATACACAACTCCCTCGGACCCCCATCCATCCCTCTTGCATTCTCTCCTACACGGTGGGCCAGCTTCCACAAAGAGTGTGGAGTGGTATCTCTCATCTCAGCTTACAGTCTAGCCATTAAGGCTGTCTTCAGAGATTGAAAGATGCACCAGTAATCCAAAATTCATTCATGATGAAGGCTAATCATATGAAGCAAGTTTCATCACCACATTCATTACTAGCTATGACACAAGTGAAAGTGTCTCCAAGATGGTCTGCTGTGCATTTATCCAAAGGCAATTAGGGTAGGGGGCAATTCGAGCAGTTTAGATCTCCATGCCGCGTGCATCAGAGCATCTTGGGCACAAGCACATGCCACCTGTGAACCACGTGTGCTTGGGCATGAAATAGCTGCTGTGATATCTCCTGACAACGAATATGAATAAAACAGAAGACTCTTCCAGAGATAAAGGTAAGGCTTCGTGGCCAATGTTGCTAGACTTCGGTGCCTGAGCCCCATTCAGCCCCATAACTAAATAATGTATCAAAAACGTTTCAGGTTTGAACAGAGATAAGTTTCTATATCCACTAGACATGCAACCTGTTTTCTATTATCAAGTAGGCAAAGCAATCATGAACGCTTCTCTCACTGCAAATGAAATTTGCAATATTATATTCCCTGTGAACAAACACAGTCAGGAATTTGCAGTCAAAAAACTCATTCATTTAAGCAAAATGAGGTTCACAAAAAGATGTTCCCTATTAACTTCCACGCTTCAACTCTTTTATCTTCAACTGAAGCTGAACAGTGCACTACTGTTAACCCTTTAAGAATACCCTTAGCATAGATGCCACTAGCAGAAGCCACAGTTGTTTCATGTTCATAGTCAAGCTCGTGCAGAAGTAACAAGTGCCACAGAGACCAATATCTGAAGCTACATGAAGTCTCCGTACCATGGGTGGTGCTGCCTCCTCCATCAATTTCAGTATAAGATTCTGTGCTTGCTCTCGAACTTGGTCTTTGGCATCTCCCATACGATCTATCAAAGRTGGAAGAACTACGAGAAGAAAAAACAAAATTAAAAAGAAATGTATTAAAACATTCTAAATGTATTTCTGAATATRCTAAAAATAATGCACCAGACAAATTAGTGGAGGTATCTTCCAACAGGCTATAAAGCTTCTCATCCTAGTGGCTGTATGAATGACTTCTATTTCATTTTCAAACAAGACTACAAAAGCCTTCTGACTTTTCTGGAAAGGAACATAGAGAGTTGAGGAGTGGGGCATAGGAAGGGGGAAGACAAGGTATAKAACAGAAGACTGTTTTCAAATCAGTGCAATTTTGCTATTTAATTATAACAATTTTAAAATTTTAAATCCTCCCCTTCACAAAGTATATCATACTAAAGTAAGGTCGAGTTAGTTCCCAAAGGAGTATTCATKAAAGTTACTATTTTAACACAAATGTCTTTAAGCAACATTTTACTAAAGTTATGTATGCCATACCAGCTCATTTCATACCCTAAAATCAGATATCACTAGAATTAAAATCTTAGCAAGACTTGCAAAATCTTTGATTTGCTTATCCAGCAATATCATTCATCAGATGTAATTATCATGTTACRATATTTAGGGAAATTATTTGGATAAATGGTTAGTTCAGGATTGTGCAAGATACTTTTATTTCCCCCTTCATTTTGAAGGCAACAAAAAAGTACTAAGAGTTTAAAAAGAGAAATGTGGGACCCTTCTTAAGCCTCCAGTCACTCATATACTCATCGAATACTTTTTTTTTCTCTCCAGCGGTACCTGCATGACTGTTTTAAGCACTGTTAAACTATTTCTCCCTATACCATAAGTTACAATGACCTGAATATTGGGTACTTTAAGGCAAACCTTGCTTTACAAACAASGAGGAACGGCTCCAGGGAAGGGAATCACGCTGAATACCAATCCTGCTGAAACAAAGTTCTTTAAATTACAGCGTGCTGAGTCAATTCACAGGGTTGCAGATACCAGGGCTCTAACGAAACCACTTAAAGCAAGTGCAGAGGCAGCTACTAGGCAGCCTGGACAGAGATGAGATCACCGAGTTAAACTAAGCCATGATGTAGTCTGCAAATTCTGGTGCTTGTAGCTGCTGAACATGCCAAGCTTGGTCATTCACGGAGCTTTTTGAGGGGCTACAAGCTGCTGGAGCTGTTCTGTTGTCCAAAAATTTACAGCCTACATTTTTTTCTAAACCTGAAGTTTCTGTTAGACCCCATATTTGGTAAAATATATTGTTTGCATACAAGAAAAGAACAAGAAAACAGTAAATCAGGCTGTTGGGTGATGCCAACCACCAGTTAGCTTTCAGATTCATAGTCCATCCTTTCTGTCAGAATAAACTCCAACAGGAAATTATTTTAGGTTGCCTGAACATCTGAAATTTCAGAATGCTCAAATACAAGCTAGAAGAGAAGGCTAAGCATATGTCAAATTGAATTCCTAATGCCCTCATCACTTTTTCCTCTCAATGTTATTAATGTCTAGGGAGAACTATTTACATTATTACTGATTTCCGCTTCATTGAGAAAGAGCTGAACTGTATTAGCTATCCTTTCTACAAATAAAGTTAATGGGAAACATGTCACCATATTTTTTGAAATCTGCACATCTTGAAGACGCTCAAGTCCCCCCTAGTAGCCAACATTACCACAGGCCAACATTACCACTAAAAGGAGCCGCTTTGCCTCACCACCCCAATGCCGTCCCCCACCTCATTCCAGCCCAGCTCCTGTGCCAGCTTTTTATTTGGCAATATTCCTATTCCTAGGAAGCGAGGACATGCTCAGACATTCACAGAAGATCCTGCACATAAGTCTATCAACAGCAAGAGTTAAGGAATACATAAGCAACTCAACGGTAGCAGTCGCTGGAGATTTGGGCATATTAACAAGAACTACTGGGCACGGTGTACAGAGCTCTTATAAAAGGATTATAACCTGGCCAGCCTTAAGCAGACTTACATCCCCATCAGGGTTAGCAAATGTCACACCTGCAACACAAGGGCACCCTTGGGCAAAACTGAAGCCTCTGCTTTAAGAGATTAGACTGCTATTACCTCCCACATAGTGGATAACGAGAAATTAGATCAGTAAGGACAATTCCTCCCCACCACTCCTCATATTTTTAAGGCCAAAAGTCTGAAAAAACAGTCTTGAAATATTAAGTTATATCTACAGAAGATGATAAAAAAGCAAATCAGAAAAGTCAGTCCCTACAAAGGTACACAATTTCCTAAAAAAAAAAATTCTGAGCACTTATGTCTGTGATGCCCTGAAGCAGCAAATGCCACAGGTAGCACAAACAGTTTCCTTTCGTTAAACTTTAACTGGAGCTCTTTCTCCTATGAGACAAATACATAGATTTTTAGTCTGTATTATTGCTCACAGCCCTTTTAATCCATCTCTCTAGAACACTTCTGGCTACTCCTCGCTAAAGTCTACTTTATTTATACCCTCTCATGCTTACTCATTTCCATGGATCAGCTTTAAAGTAGTCCATGTCTGCTCCACCTGGAACTGCAGTTGCAAGAGCTGATAGAAAAAGTCTGAACATTAAGTAAAAATACTTTCCAAGAAACCACCAATGTTAGCAAAAATTCTTTCACTAAAAAAGTCCGGTTTCACATTCTTGACTTGAAAGAAAAAGGATTTGGGGACAGAAACAGAGGTTAAATCCAGGCTGAATTGTCTTTCTGCCTTCTTCTTTTTTTTTTTTTTTTTTTTTTTCCTCTCCTGAGAAACTTTGCCAGTTCAGGCAACAGCACTAAACTGGTGCCAATATTAGAAAGAAAGGAGAGGAAACAGCTGCCTCAGCAATTAGAGCAGTCACTGTTGTTATGGGTAGGACGCACAGGAGAGACAGGAACCTCTCCAAGACTCCTACCCAGCCAGCAGCAGGGCAGCATTGGCCAAAAAAAAAAAAAAAAAAAAAAAAAAAAATTTTTTTTTTTTTTAATGAAAAAAAGGCTCTTTTCTGGGTGTACAGGGGCCAGAAGGGCCTCCCTGCCTCCCTTCTAAGATTCCTCTCTCGCCATCCTAAGGAGCAGTTCAGTAAGCTCAATCAAGAGCCATTTCAGACACATAAAAATACCTCTCTGGGTCTTTCCAACAAAGGCAAACATTAAGTAGATTAATGAGGTAGATGGTTCATCATTAACAGTGCAGAGGAAAATRAAGTTGTGCTTATTTTATGCTATGTTCACAGACCTTTCAGGGTCTCAGGCTCAGGTTATGTAAGAGGACAGCCCAAGGATTTTAAAGAGACAAATATATTAAAACAGCAGGAAAATGGGAAGGTAGAGAACACAGGTCCATGTCATCTTATGACTATTTTAGCTTTAGGTTAATTTCTTACAGCAACATATTCACTTGAACCGAACACAAACTAAAACCAGTATTCCTCTGCTTTCATTGAGGACACTGCATTTGCAGGTGCCATGGAGCAGCCAGGCCTCTTCAGTGCAGCATCCAGAGGCAGTAAGCACAGGAAAGTAATTCAGAGCTCATCAGCACAGCATGAGTCACTACAGGTGACAGTCACACTACTAAAATTCCTGTGCTTGCCACCTAGAACACCAAAGGCTTTACAAGTCCTTACAGGAGAGAGAGTAAAGAGAGTGAAGAGAGTGAAGAGAGTGAAGAGAGTGAAGAGAGTGAAGAGAGTGAAGAGAGTGAAGAGAGTGAAGAGAGTGAAGAGAGTGAAGAG